GATGATCTAGTTATGGGTGTCCATTCCCCTATCAGCTTAGTTTTTGGTTTTATTTTGGCAACATTGATTGTCTCTAATGTGTTGTTTGTTCATAGTCCTCCGGCCCTTCTGTTTGTTTATGCAGGGCCGGTTTTGCCCTACACCACTTGCACAAATAATTATGCTTGCTAATGAAGGGGCCCGCAGCCACTGCACTCGGTAAATGCCTTTCTGATGAGAAGCACTGGGAGACAGCAGGTGCAGGGTGGCCCTCCTAGGGACTAAGATTGAAGACCAAGAAGCCAGGGTGTCTCCCCCACCTTCGTCTTTCCATTTATCTAGCTCTCGACCAAATATTCCTTTAATTTCTTCTTGTTTCTTGTGCTGCAGTGTTGTAATTTAGGAAATTACAACACAGACATTTTCAATTGTCATTATACACTAGGGAGTGATTCAAAAATTTTTATTTGAAATAAATATTTCATATTCTTAACTAGTTAATTCAATTGCCATTTGCTTCTGTTGCAAGAAATCCACTGAAGCACTTCACTGTGGTCTGCCATATCAAAGCAAGGAGGCAGAGAGTGCAACTGCAAGTTTCTTTGAACAGAAAAACCCACTGATAATTTCGAATAGAAGAATCACTTTTGTATTGCAGCTATGCTATTAGTCTGATTCTGGCATTTATATATAATAATATCTATCATTGTATAGTAGAATATTGTGTGATTTAAGCACAGTAAATAGTTTCAATTGCACAGCAATGACCGATTTCCAAAATCAGGAAGAAACAAACTGTACAATATTAGAGGCTTCTTTTGTGCCACAGCAGATCATTAAAGCATGCGACTCAAAACTATGGCAGGATCTGCACCAGTTTTTGAAAATTGGCCGTTGTTGTTTACTATTTGCTATTAACGGCTGTTAATAGCAAAACTCACCGGAATTTTCACAATAAAACTTTTCCACAGTAACAGTGAAATACAGTATTATTTAAGCATAAGAAGTTGGTTCAACAAAGTTAATACCGCAAAACCAAAGCTAAAAGAACAGATAGGATTGACTTTTAAAATAAGACTTAAAGATTGAAAAAAATATTATTATCAGGCCACTTGGAAACGATTATCTGCATGTTTTTGTTCCTCAGAATCATATGTACCCAGTTGGTTTTAAACTAATGTCTATGACTTGATGTTTTTTTTATATGCAAGGCCTAAGATAATGCTTTAACTGTACATAAAGAACCCTGATCTTGTTTTGGACACACAAAACACTAATGTGCTAGAGACACAGGCTTGTTTTTTCTGTTACTAAAAGTTGTACCTTGTTTTAGCCGCCTTACCTGATGCTGAAACTAACCTCTGAGCCAACAGCTATGGACCAAGTACCAGTTTTCTCAGAAATTTCCTGGCTCCCTTCTAAGATTAGCATTTTACTGATAAAATAACACATTAGAGAAAGACAAACCATTTATTTAAACAAATTTGGAGAACCACTAAACAGCACAAGTCATTTCTCTGCATCCTCTGCTTCTTGTGCTGATGTTTTTTTTCTATATTCTCATTTTAAAGGAAGAAAACAAGATCTTTTGACTTCTTCTTTTCTCCCATTTTTGTTCTCCCCCTGTGGTTTCCATGGGTTTTGAGGGCAAACAAATAACAAAACAAAACATTTATAGAATCAGTGCTTAGATCTTGGCCCCCAAATCTCTACACTTAAAGCTGAGCGAATGAAGCATGTGGAGAGGGCCCATATGAGATAGACGGAGAAACATTTGGGTTCCTGCCTGCAAACTTTAATGCCACCCTCCCCTCTTCTGTCTTCCTCTCCGAAAACTTCATAAGCAGTAATATTCTTGTGCGAGCCTGAGTGTGAACAGGAGGTGATGACTGTTAGTATGGGAGTGTGTGTGTAATGGTATATGGCGCACATGTGTGTGCACATTTGCATGTGTGCGAGTGTTTGAGCAGGGTGGTGTCAGCTCGCTCCTTGCCACCCCATTTACTGTAGCTGTACCGCTGTGATCACAGACAGATGTATAAATCAAACCTCGCTTGATGGATTCATCAGGGTGGCGAAACGATCGCCTGAGAAGAACTCGCAAGTCTCTTAGCATTCTGTGTTCTGACAGAAAGGGTATGCAAAGAGCCTAAATGGATGAACGCTTGATTAATTCTTTGCCAGAGATGTTGGCGACAGCAGGAAATGTGTTTTTGCTTTGACTGTGTTTGCACGGGAATTTACGCACGCAGGGTGTGAGTTATGAGGCCTGAGTTTTGTACCTAAGGCTATTGTGCATAATGACGGCAGGTTGGGAGAGCTGCACGCAGCCGCTAAAGACTTGCCACCTGTGGAGTGGAGGCAACCAATGAGAGAGGGAGGAAGTGTGTGTGGGAGTGTGTGCATGTATGCCGTTATGTTGTCGAGGCCCATGTGGGAGAAAAGATGAAGCCGCAAACTGTGATAGGAGGATGTGAATAGGCAAAGTGTGACAGAGAAACAGGTAGGCAGGTAGAATGTTCTTTACTCAGAAGATCTGATCAAATGGAAAAAATAAAAAGTTTTTGTTGAAATTTGAACACCAGTATGAAGATATAAAGTATTTGCTCACTCTATAAAGGACCAACAGGAAGGAAACTGGAAGGAGACAAATCATTGATTAAGAATAATAGCATGAAATTGTCCAATATGTCTTTGTACACTGCAGTAGAGCTGCTAACGGCTGAAAATATCTCCATGGCAAAATCTGTCCATCAAGTTTCCATACATAGGGGAATGATTTAACACCCTAGAGATCTCCATTGCTCCAGTACAGTAGCGGTAGATTTTGCACCACTTTATTTGAGGCTTTGCATTAAACTTTTAGAGTCATAAATAGCGGATCTGTGTCACCCCACACACTGTTCCTGAGATAATCTAAAGATATGTAGATTAAAAGGGGTTATAGCTGTTCAGTGTGTTGAAAGTTGTTGACTTCAACATGAACTTTTGAACGTGGCCCACTGCTTTATTGCTTTTCTTGTTATGGCTCTTGGCTCATATTGATGCTTCCTGCGGTCTGTCCTTGTCAAAAACTGATCTGCCGTGAGCTGGTCAGATCCATCACTGAATGGGTCATGTGAACCAGAGCACCACTTTATGGCAGTCGGAAGATTAGAGCTATGTAAGATAAAAGTTGTTGTTAGGCAACAGAATAGATATGACATTTAAAAGTTACAGTGTCCAATTAAAGTTAAAATATTTAGCATTATTAATACCAAGCTTAAGTTCACAGAGCTTTTCATCTTGGCTCATTCTGTTGTGCATAATTTCTGGATTTTATACACTTGTGGCCATTAATATAACTGACGCATTTAAACTTAACTTTGAACTTGAACATGTAAAAAAAAAAAAAAAAAAAACTTTTGAAAGTATTGTGTACAATTTGAGCAACAGTTAAACATTTGGGGAAAAAAAACTTTGGGTGTTAAGCAGAAGAAATGCAATATCTCAGTAAAACTTGGCATAAGAAATGCTGGTTGCTGTGCGTGCATCTAAATATTCCTAGAGACGGTTAGCAAGTGGATTTTAAATCTAACATGTTGATAATTTATAAGAAAAGGCAATCTGTGTGTCTGGGGGTGGCAGAGGGAGGAGGAGGAGGGGCAGCAATATGAGTAGTAATTTACTCAGTTAAGAACCAAATGGCAGACAGACTGTCGCCCTGCGTGTTATCACAGAGCTTCGCACTCTGCTCGTTTTCTGACTCTGTTCTCCTTCTCCTTTGTGTAGTTTTGTGTGCCTATGCGCGCAGTTGCGTTGTAGCTTTGCGATACAGGCATCATCTCAGTATTTTGGGCAGAATGGGCTGTAAACGGTGGCGCCTTTGTGGCTGTAATAGAGATTTTATGGGCACATGTTTGCTCATAAAGTCGAGTTACAGTAGATAACTGCAGGTGGATTAATCTGTGTAGCTGCAGGTTGTGGAAGTTGAGTGTGTCCTTACTTGTGCGTTGTATACCCATGTGAGTGAATATGTGTATTTTGTTGAATCTCTGGAGGCTTCATTGCACTCATCAGGATATCGGCGTTGAGGGATGGCGGTGTCAGTAAAGTGACAGTTGTGTGTGTTTGTGTGTGCAAGGATTGATGTTCCTAAATCTGACAGTAGCCATATTGTGGAAAGGAGAAGGGAGGGATGGAGGCGTGAGCAGCGGGAGGAGGACTGCAGCCCCCTCATCCTCGCAGGTTAATATTGACACAGCCTGGGCAGACACAGCGCCTTAAGCACTCATCAATCACCCTCAGTGGACGCATACAAACACGCACACAGACTCGGTCTAAAGTAATGAGAAGGACCACACACATTTTCTAATAACATGATACAAACACGTTCTAATATCCTCTGACTCTTTGGAAATGTCAGGAAACTGACATGAACGTCTCAACAGCTGCATTAGTTTACTATAAATATCTCTCTTTATGTAAAAGTTCAACTTAAATAAACACAACAACAATTTCCAAAACTTCCCTAAGCAAACAGTTATACAGCAAATGTAGATAAATCAAGCAAATATGTTTTCAAAAGTATCACTTTGTACACTTTATGGATATCCCTGCGTGGCAAATTATGATTGCAGTATCACTGTTGTTAATCATTTCAGAGGGAGTGAGAAAAAACATGTTCCCTTGACAAACAAAACAATTAATTAATGCAACTTTCTATACATCAATCAGAGAGAATGTCAGTGAATTACCATAATCTGTGCATGGTAGCTGTTTTAAGAGCAAACAGTTAATTTCCAGACAATAAATCACAAAGTGTCTTTCTACCCCTCTGTGCACTTTGACAGCTTCGTCTCTCATTACTACAGATGAAGACACACTTGAAAATACTTTTACTAAATAAAACTGAATCATATGTGCAATAAAAGTTACAAAGTCTAACAATGTTAGGAACAGATGTAAGTAAAATGCTTGGAAAAAAAAAAAAAAAAGATACATTTGTAATGGAGTCATTTTTTCCCCTCTCTAACATCCAGGACTGGCATGAATACAGAGATGACCTGAAATTGTTGTGTCACCAGAATGACTATGATGGTCTTGTAGTGGTCTTGTCCATCAATGATACAGTTCATCATCCCCGCCAGCAGGTGGCTGTCTACTCAAGCAACACAGATATCTTAAACCAGGTAATTTCTATTTCTATTATCTTTGCAAGACAGGACTTTTGTTTCAGGTTCTCTTATAATAAAATCTTTTTCCACTAGCTTCTTATTTTCTAAAGAAAACATTTGCAAAAATTACTCTATATGCTGTAATATTAGAAGGTTAAAGGTATAGTGGAGGATTTTCTTTTTCCAGGTGGATTATCAAAATAAGTGGTCCTCCCAATTTTCAATCATTCCGGCGATATTTTTATGTAAGTCCTACATGCTCGTCCCCATTTTTACTTACCAAATCTTCTGGCAGGTAATTTTATGTGCTTTTACGTACATGTGCTTTTATTTTTTAAAGAGAAGAGGGTAGGTCTTTTCAAACTTTTGCCAAAATCCTTCACTATACCTTTAATGTTAAACATGTCACACTGTTTATTTTCTCCCATGACTTCTGCTTTATTGCAGTTTAACAAAAAAGAAAAACAAATGAAATAAGAATTACTATCAGAATGCTAACATTTTGTGGCTACAGGTCTGTGCTGAGTTGGAAGTTTCCTGCAGGTGGTCTTTTTCTGGTGAACTAGAAGAAAAGGAGGATCTTCAGGTCTACCACATTCCAGTAAGCACATCCGCATCTTCTAGCACACTTCCTCTGCTGCTGCAAGACATCCGAGGCATCCTAAAGGACTTTGTTAACCAGCATAGCTCAGTGCTGGGCTGCCACCCCAGCAGCAGGACCTCCTCTACAGAAGGAGTAGCGGGCAGCGTGGAGTTTTCCCAGGGATCATCCGGCATCAACGACATGGACGGATCTGACACGGAGAGGGCTGATGGAGGCAATGGAGATGTCGCAGCAGAGGCAAGGTATAAAGTGCATTTAATTTCAAACCAGTATACCCCCCAGTAAAAATGCAAGGTTTTTATTATTAGGAAAAAGTAGGCAATTATACATTTTTATAATAGGTCTTTTTATTTATTTATTATTATTTCTATTGTTTTTTAGCCTTAATGCGGCATATAAGCTGTTCAGGTGAGCAGGAAAATAAGTCTCTTTTCAGAAAGCTGTACACAAATAAGAAATAATAAGTAATAACCAGGTTATACAGCTCCTAAGACTAATAAATTATTGAATTATTTTTTCCCCTCAGTTACAGTGTTTCTCGGTTTTTTTGCACACAATTAAAATCAATTACATATAATCTGATTAATGGTAATATCCACTCAAGATTTTTCTGCCATGTCCTCACTTGCATTAGAGATTCCAAAGGAATAAAATCAGCTAAATTTTCTCAATAAGGAAAAAACTATAAGTTATTTTTCTAGCTTTGGTTGTTATTCTAGTATGATTAAAATTCTCTGTATTATCCCCATACTTTTGGGGTATGAGTCTTAAGCAATAAAAAAAACCTCAAGGCCAGGCTTATGTTTCATCTGACATTGTTAATCTGATACAAAACAAAATGTTTGGGCCATTTTTTTTCAAAAGGAATATTTGGCGGGGAAAGCATCACGCTTTAGAGTTCATTTTCTTTTCATCAAGATGTATACATTTTTGAAACTGTCATGATGGTGTGCAAGAGGCTCCAGCTCAGGAGACCCATAGCGCTCTCTGCTGGAGACAGGTGGCAGATCTCCAGATCCCAACAGAAACACCATATAGCTTATGCTCCAAACCTTCATATTTTTGCTTTAATGTTGAAGCGTGTAACACAAAATTTCAGAAAAACCAATCATGCCATCAACCAATCAGTTTCAGCAAAATAAATATTTGAAATACTGTAGACAGAATTATCCAGTTGGAATTCCTTGAGACTGTCTCATAAGGACTGTTACTAAAGTGAGCTTTAGAAAGTGAATATGTAGACAGAGTCCTGAGAAATGTCCATTTGAGGACTCAGGATTGGAATGTTAACATTGTTACATGTTAGAAGATACAGCTGAGATCCAGTGCAGTAAAAATAGCACAATTGAATCTGATCCGATTGATTTTCTTATGATTAACTGAATACACTCCCTACTTAACTTTATTTTTTACAACAGGACTACTGCAGAGGTTAAAGACGAGACAGGAACTGTTGGAGTTTGTGCTGGTGGGGAGCAGTTGAGTCCTGACAGCGGTATGACCACCATCCGCAGCAGCCGGTCCTCCAAGGAGAGTTCTGTGTTCCTTAGTGATGACAGTCCAGGTGGTGAAGGTCCACCTGGAGGCCCAGGGGTGCTCTTTCTAAGGAACTCCTCTCCTCTGGGCTTTTCATCTCTCTCCCCCCCTGTCCCACCTGAGAGGAGGAAGCACCGCTCTGGCAAAAGCAAGACAGATAATTTCAGTTTTGACCCACTTCATAGCAGGGACCAGCGACTTCCGGCAGAAGGAGAATTAGTGGATGCTTTAGAGGGAATATATGAAGGTGAAAGAAGAGCTGGAAGCTCAAGCTTATCAGAACTTGATGAGATGAGCCTGCTTGATTTCTCTGCTCCAAACTCCATTGGCGGCCTTGAAAGTAGAAATTCTTCTATTGATCATCATGGTCAGATGTATGCGAATGACATGATGGACACAATGATTCCTCCAACCCCTGTGAACAGTCTGGTTGGTAGCCGTCCTCCCAGCAGTTGTGGTGTCCGGTTTTTCCCAGAAGATGTAGTTGAGAGGATCAACGGCCTACAGCACAAAGACAGTGTGTCATCTTCCTTATCAGAAACTTGGGATGACCTCAGCAGTGAGACTCAAGGAACAGTTTCCTCCACTGATATTAGTGCATTGAATAAGCTCCGAAACTCAGGCAGTCCCCAGACTGTTGTAAGTGAAGTTAAAGACCTAGCAGGTTACATGAGTGAAAGAGATAGTGGAGACCAGATATCAAAGCTGGACGCTGCCCATCAGAGAGTAAAAACACTTGAACCTCAGCTTAGTTTAAGTACTGAGCCGACTGAAACAAGTGAAACCTGGAATCCAGACTATGTATTCAAGGATCAGTGGGAACCTGCAACTTTGGCTGATCTCCACTTAACACCACCAGAAGATAGAGTGTCTTTGAAATCCAAAGCTGCCATTACTGTAGAAAAACAAACAACACACTCTGCATTGGGAAAGAAACCCATCCCAAACACTTTGACACTCAAAGAAGATGAAGTTAAAAGACGAGACCAACATACTGAACACTTAGACTTTTGGACTTACTCAGCTCAAAAGGGATTTCTGAAATCAGATAGCAGAATCACCACCTCCTACCCTGAGTCTCTAGATATGTGGAATATGACAATCAGGGACGACAGTATTTCACCTCTGACTACCCCTGACAATCTGTCTGAAAGCTTAGCTTCCTTCTGTGGGCGAAACACTATTATGGAGAAAGACACATCACTAGAAAGTCCACTTGGATACTCTGATGGTGGTATGGCAATGTGGAACACCACCATTCAGGAAGAAAGCTCTTCTGCAACAACAACCCCAGAAGGACCTGAACATGAAAAAGATCTGAGGTGTGGTAGATCCTTGGTGTCAAATGATTCTGCTGAGACAGAAGAAAAGTGTGACCCTACACCACAAGATCACTGGAGGGGTGTTGAGCACAATGTGAAAATAGTGATAGAAACAGCTGACAGAGAATCACAGGGGGAAGAAATAGATGGTAATCCTATGCAGGGTTTTCAGAATGAGTCTTCCGAGACTGGAAATGAGAACTTAGTTTCTATATATTCAGATTTTGAGCCTTTACCACATGGAAGCACTGACTTGTGGGGATTACCTGTTCAGGGTATGGTCACATCCACCTCTGAATATGACAACGTTGGAGACGGGGGATTTAGCCTTGCATCCACACCTGGTGACAGTGCTAGCCCTGTAGTTGATCTTATACAGATAGAGGAGCAATCTAGCCCTTTTATAGCTATACCCAGACATGTTCAGAAGCAACATCAGACAGCTGAACCTCTGGGAGAAACACAAGCAGATCCAGACAGAGACCAGATGGCAAACCATGTGTTTGTTTTTGACAAAGAGTTGGCTGACCTAACAGGTAGTAAAGAAAGTCCAGTTAAATATAAGTCCAAAATGATAGGCAGTGACAACTTAGACGATTTTGATTGGACTGATCAATCTAGCGACTATTCTCCATTTCTTTTGGTAGATAACTCTACAGCCTCTCTTGAAGTGTCAGAAATACAGAGAGAAGATTCTGAAATTCAAGTAAAAACTCACAAATCACTATCCCTAATGTACATGGGGGGAGACTATCCTTCACCAAACAGATATGATGACTCATCCTCATCAATAGACCTAGACAGCAAAATGGGCAACACTGTAGAGGACAGGTCTCGAGCTAAAAACCAAGATCTGGAACAAAAAGAAAATGATTCAAATGTAGGAGACAAAATAGCACAAGGTACATATTTAAGCTGTCACTCCACAGAAGAAAGAGAGACGCCAAGCAGCCCCAACAAACTTCAATCAGGTCATAAGATTAACAATGAGTGTAGTTCTGATTCAACGGTACAAATAGGGTACGTTGTCATGCCTGGCACAAAAAAGGAAACTAACTGTGAATCAAGTGATAGTATTACACAAGATAACAAGCCTTCTAAAGGAAAACATAAACCCATGGAGACATTCAGTATGCTCTCGTATGCTGTTGCTGCACTGGGATCTCGTGCCAAAACTGCATATGATGAACACCTGGATATTAGTCAACAAACCTGCCAGCAACACACCAGAGGAGCAGAAACCAAAACGGCACCATCTGAAATAACAAAACCTTTCCAATCCAACCTTGATAATACTGCTGATAATCACCTTCTACCAGGAATCAGCATTTCTGACCAGTTACAAAACAGTTATGAAGCTTTGCAAAAGTCAAATTTTGAAACAGCAAAAGAAGAGAGCCCTGAAAATATGTCTGGCTCTGTGGCCAGAAGCATGTCTCCTTCCTTAAGATATCCATCAGATCACTTCCTGAAGACCAGAGAGGAAGTTTATGTCCATTCACAGATCTCAATGGAGGACTCAGATGAAGGTGAGCATTCACCACCAGCACCTCCACCCAGCGCAGCTTCTTTGGCTGACTTAAAACTTTGGGGAGGTCAGTTAGTCTGTCGGGACGTACCTGAAGCAACATCTGAAGCTCAGTCCCCTGCACTCACTAACAGTTCAGTCTCTCAAAGCAGCTCTCCTATTTGTTCCCCATTGAATGAATTGTGTTTTTCCACTGAAAAACAGCTTGGCTTACCATTCTCTGGAGATTTAATGGAAGAGGAACATGAAGATGATGATACAGAGTGTTCTGGCCTTCCAAATAGTAGCAACAAAGAACAAGCTGAACGTAGAGAAAAACAAGAGTTCAAACCTCCTGATCTTTTGAGTTTTACTGAGGAACTTATTGAAACTCCAATGTTTCAACAAACACATTTAAATTATATTGAACCAAAGAGCGCTGAGCTTCCATTTAAAAGAGAAGACTACTATGACTCGCAGCCTGTAAGGACTGATGGGAATCAGCTTACAGTTCAGGAAGCTTCTGGAGACCTTCTTTCACATGTTTTGAGGTAAGCTCACTAAACACGCAATGAGCTACTGATGTTTTAAATTGGTGTGATGTTGAGACATCAGGAATGATGCCTCTGTAACTTTATGCACATGTTTCACATAGGTTAATCCATCTCATTCTTTCAGTTTTCCGGAGGGTTTTGTTTGGTTTTCTAACCTGAGTCTGTCAGAAAATATTAGCATCACTGAGAAACCTGTCCTAATTCAGATGGACAGTTCTCCCTAGAATATCGATATAAGGAAGTGTTTGTGTGTGTGAGAGTGTGTGTAGGTGTTGGATGGATGAGTAAAAAATGAGGGCTACATCAGCGGTGTGGTGGGACAAGTTTATATCTCTGTATCGGTGTGAAGAGATAAAGACCTGCGCATATGTATCAGAGTGCATCAGATGTGTGTTTAGCTGTGAGGTTGATATGCACCTGTGTGTGTGTGTGTGTGTGTGTGTATGTTTTGTTTTGTTTTTTTTACAAATCATTTTATGCCTCATTTAATATGCATTACATGCCTCATTACAGCTGGAGCCCCTCCATTGCTTATGGAAATGACTCCCCTTGCTTTCTAACAAGGTGTTGGCATATGTGTATATGCAGCTTTATAAGGGAGTATTTGCATATGTAATATAATGTGCATCAGAGAATACCTTGTCCGTGTGGTTTGACTTTGCATTAGCCAAAAAAAAAAAGTTGGTCCCCCTATTTAGGTTAAAGACAGAAGTACTAGATATGATGGAATTATGAAATGTGAAGAAGCTCAAAACTGACAGCCTTGAATCCTGTAAATAACCTTGGAGCCGAGAAGTTAAGAATAAGATTTGATAACTATGTTATTTCTCGGTTATATAAGCACACAAACTACTTCAAAGAGAAGACCGTAGTTTCAACAACCCACATTCTCTTCAATATATTATTATTTTAACCTCATTACTTTGATTCATGCACAAACCAAAAACTTTGATTTATTTCTTAATATTTAAAAATGTTCTTAAAATGTCAACATTATTCAAGAAATCAATTTTTGTCTATATTCTGTAATGGAAAGGAAAATCCACCCATCTCTGATAAATACGGCTCCAAAGTAGCGGTAGTTTCTCTTCAACACAGAAAACAGCAGAGGATCATAAATAAGCATGTGACTGTCAGTAAATATTGGATTTATGTAATGCATTGATAAATTTGGTCAATCAAAAGACATGGATACTTAAGGTGAAATTAAGCAAATTCATTTGATTCTGAAGCTCAGAGAATATTGTGGGCTTAGTGATGTAAGAGATGCACAATGAGGAAATGATTTGTTCACTGCCAAATATGATTTAAACACTCATATTTTCACCTGTTGCATTATTCTTCTAATATAATCCAATGCAAAAAAGTAATGCAATTTCCATCTTATATTTTCTTCTAATTAAGATTTACAATTTTCACCTAATTCTTTGATCACATGATGCAATACATGTATTATTATTTTGTAGCAACTTTCGCTCTAGTATTTTACTATGTCCATATTTCCTCTGCAAATAGCTTCATTAGAGGAAATATAGATTCAACTACGTATGTGGCAACAAAAAGGAGAAGTTAAAATTTTAAACTTTAAATAGGACAGAAGTTTCATACTCGTCCCTTTAAGTAAAGAACAAAAAGCAACTGTTTTTCTTTTCTTTGAAAAGGTTCCAGGTATTTAACAGCAGACTTCTGTTAGTAAATTTTTTAGCCCTGTTTCTGGAAATATGTTTTCCTCACATGCATAATAGGTGAGAAATTGTCTGGGAAATGACTTGACATAAGGATTAATTATAAACTTTTTTTAAAGCTGAGATCTAATGGCTCCTCCTCTGTTTAGAATGGTTTTCTTTCCCCCCTTTGATGTAAATAAATTCCTTTACCACTCTCTCAAACCATATATGAACACTCCTCAAAAGAGTGTAACCTCTCCTTAAGGATCCAAATCTTCATATTTTAGACAGATGGGTGGTTTCTATTTCATCTCTGTACAGGAGAAAATCTAAAGACACAAGGGAGGAGTATCTGAGGTCAGTGATAAATTTAACTAGTTTCCCTTTAAAGCATTCTGTAAAAATGCGAATCTGATACAGCTCATTTTATCCATAAATGCTTAAGATAAAGATTCAAGTGATAACATTACTTTTTAATTTAAACATTACAGCATTAATATTTTGCTCACTTCATTATTTGCAAAACAAAAAAACAACCCCTGATCATACTAACCCCTACTGTATCCATCAGAAGGTTTTGCTCCTCTCCCTTCAACAGAACCTCAAGAATTAAGCCACTCCTGATAATTGTATGCCTACATCTCTCCCTAAGACATCTCTGTGAATGATTGTTTTTTTTTTCCCAGTACATCACTGCCATCTACAGAGTAATAAAATTATGGCAGGTTTTCCATGTATATTTTCAGCATTTGCGAAGAACAAATGGGTAGCCACTTACAAAAAAAAACAGGTCATTTACTCATACAAAGCATTTTACATATAAAACTGATACCACAACTACTAATCAATTAGTTAAAGCTACAGTGTGTAATAATTACAGGGATATACAGTCAGAAATGTAATATATTATACATAACTATGTTATTTATCATCATCTACGAGCTCAGCCTCTTAACCTTAATATTTGCGTTGCCTTAGAATTTGTTATTTTTAATTACATAGGAGCGGGTCTCGCAGCCATGGAGGCAGACATCTTTGCGCTACGGCAGCGCAGAGCCAACAAACTAGCGATTGCGAGATCGCCAAAACGTCACAACGATGTAGAAAAAATAACGGGTATATTTATAATCTTAAGTCTACATGAAATCTATACCCTACTCAGACTAATGAAATACTATCTGTAAAATTATCTATGTAAACAAACCTCATCACTTGAGAAGGTAGGTGATGCGGACGTCGTGGAAGACATTTTGTCCCGTAACGCTCGCCGTACTGTTGGGGGGGAGAAGCGGTGGGGGGGGGGGGGGGGGGGGATGTTCATGTTGCTGCAGTCTGCAGTCTGACCGCTAGATGTCGCTAAAAGTTACACACTGTAGCTTTAAATAAGGGCTTCCAAATCGTCTTTTGAATAAAAAATGTGTTACCTCTAAATAAAGTGACGTACTGCGTAATGAGTGTCACTTGGCTCCATATGTGTTTGCACTGATCCCAGATCCTTGTATTCCAGTAACAGAAAACCCCAAGATGAAATGTCCCAGCTCTCATCTCAGCCAACCAATGAAAATGCTGCATCTGAATGGACAGGAAGTTTGAACACCACTCAGGGTCAAAGCAAGTACGGCTACAACTACCACCACATCGACCAAAGAACTGAAAACCAGTGTTCTCACCCACCCTGCATGGACGCCAAGCCTGAATGTCAGCAGAGCGCCTCAGACGTATACGCTGAGTTCACAACCAGTGCCCAGACTGAATACCTCAGACCCAAGCAAAGCCAGCACCTGGATCATGCCCATTTGAATTATCAGTACTTTACTGATAACACATATGTGGAAGAGCCTATGAGCACGTCTGAATTCCAGTATTCTCAGCACGAAGCTGCTGGACACTCTGCAGAGGGATATGTTCACGTTCTCCTGTCAAGGTGAGTTGCACCAGTAAAACGATTAAGATTTCCTGAATGATTTCCTCTTTTCTAACTTATCCAATATGATTATGTTGCAGGTTGAAAAGGGTCAAAAATTAAAAGAGTTTATATTTCAAAAGACATTGAGAAAATTTGAAAAAGGGTCTAAATAAGACTAACCCAGAGGCCTACAGTCTTATTTAATGTACATATCGAGACATAAGGGCATAGTATATATCACATCTGAGCAGGATGTGATACTGCTTTACAATATTGCATCTTTTGATAAAGTGATAATGATCAGCCGATCTACTCGTTTGGATCCTATATCTATGCATTCCTCTTCAAATACAAATACGGATGAGAAAATAACTTTTACTCTCGGTATTTTCTTAACCAGTTTATGTCACCTTTGCCGAAACTCCCTATAAAAAACTGGTCCTCTCCATCAGTAATGTCTTCAACAAGTTCAAATCTAGAGGTATGGTCTGGAAATATTTCAGTTTCACAGATTCAGTTTCTTCAGGTTGGAGGAGAGTCCCTGCCTCAAGTGGAGGAGTTCAAGTATCTTGGGGTCCTGTTCACGAGTGAGGGAAGAATGGAGCGGGAGATTGATAGACGGATCGGTGCGGCTGCTGCAATAATGCGGACGCTGCACCGGTCTGTCGTGGTGAAGAGAGAGCTGAGCGAAAAGGCAAAGCTCTCAGTTTACCGTTCGGTCTACGTTCCTACCCTCACCTATGGTCATGAAATTTGGATCATGACCGAAAGAACGAGATCCCGGATACAAGCGGCTGAAATGAGCTTCCTCCGCAGGGTGGCTGGGCTCTCCCTTAGAGATAGGGTGAGGAGCTCGGTCATTCGGGAGAGGCTCAGTGTAGAGCCGGTTCTCCTCCACATCGAGAGGAGTCAGTTGAGGTGGCTCGGACATCTTCTTCGGATGCCCCCTGGACGCCTCCCTCGGGAGGTGTTCCAGGCACGTCCCACTGGGAGGAGGCCCAGGGGACGACCCAGGACACGTTGGAGAGACTACGTCTCTCGGCTGGCCTGGGGGCGCCTAGGGCTTCCCCCAGCAGAGCTGGAGGAGGTGTCTGCGGAGAGGGAAGTCTGGGAGTCTCTGCTTAGTCTGCTGCCCCCGCGACCCGGTTCCGGATAAAGCGGGAGACGACGAGTACGAGTACGAGTACGAGATTCAGTTTCACAGCCCAGATTTACTTCCTGGTTCATGAGCCAATCATAGGAGACATCATTGAAACTATCAAGAAAATAGGCTCCAAAAGAGTCTAAGCAATACACAAGAGGTCCTTAGAAAGTATTTGAACAACAACTTAATGTACGGTAGGTGAATCATTTTCACTCATCATTTTGAATTTCCTGTCTTGATTTGGCAACCCGCATCACATGCTCTGAACTGGAAGAACAAGAGGATCTTGTTCTTTCCAGTATCTATCTTTAAATAAATCTCATATCATGAACCACACAGCCTCCAATATTCTCCTGGTTCAGGGAAGGTTGGATTCACATCATTTCCGCACTCCATTTCTAAAACATATGCTTGTTTTCCCACAGACTCACATTAAGTTTAGTGATATTTGCAGCCATATCAGCTTTAACTATTTGAAAATGGCTTTTAATATATATTAGGGAAGTTTTTATATAAAGTAGTTTTCCCCTTCCTTTCAGAGGATGGTCTTTGGGATGAGGATGCCCAGTTCACACTGTAGGCAAACCAATTAATCTTAAAGGTGTTATGTCAGGATTTTATGAGGAGTTGTAACCTTAGCCCTATTTAAGCTTTTATGCACCAAACCTGCTTGATCTTGAGACATTGAGAGGCTTAATATTTTAATATTTTCCTCCTCGTACATGTATATATATGTATATGTATATTCCTATATTCATAAATATGTGTAGGACTTTGCAGCTTACCAAAGCTCTCAAAGCTTTCTGTTGAAGTGAAAATTATGAAAAATCAAAACAACCTAAAAAAGACAAATACGATACTAATATACTAATATGCCTCTGCTAAAAAAATCCATATTTTTATTCTGAATAGACAGTTCAATATTCATGTTTTCTGAATCAGCATTTGAACTGGTCGTAGTGTTCCCATTAGCAGTGGCAGTACTGTGCTCATTCTGTCCCACTGTGGAATCCCGATGACCCGCCCCTTCCTAGAGATGCATGAACTCCCCCTGTTAATTACTCCTTGAGTGTGTATGTGTGTGTATTTGCATACGAACACAATGGCCTTTGCATAATTAAACAGTCATGTGACCCATGGTGGATAGTCTGGTCCAGAGGAAGCAGTGATGACAAAAAGGTAACCATTGAACATTTTTGTCGTAGGAAAGAATCTCTGTGCATGTGTCTTTATGTCTGTAGTCGTGTGTCTGTAGTGCTTTTCTTCATTGTTAGATGTCTGTATGCTAATCAGAATCTATTAGAGCAGCTATAGTTGGAGGGAGGTGGTAACACTGCACAGCATTGTGTCCTCTGCCCACATGTGCAGCCTGCGAATAAAGCAGTGGGTCAGTTTCTCTCCATGTTCTTTGTCACGTCAGCAATCCTTCTCATCTTGAGTCGCATGAAAAGATTTTAAACTCTTTCATTTAATGTCATGGGAACTGTTATTTGCTTTGGAGATAGATGGTTGTCTTTGCCTTGTTTGGCCCTTTGCTGTGTGTGGTTGTGCCTCTGGTAGCACTGACCATAGCAATGATAGTTTATGTTATGGTTCATTATTGTATTTTTGTGCCTCTGAGCAGAAACTCCCAGCAGGGAGAGGATGACGCAGCGATGATGAAGAAGATAAACCCCAATGAAGAAGCAGCAGAGGAGCAGGAAAACAGAGAAGGTAATTAAACAGAAAACAAAACTGACATTTTTTTGTTTGCATGTGTTTTGGTTTATATGTTACTCTGTAAACAAGCATTGTGCCATAAAAGAAACTCTTAACAGGGATGAATTGTTTATGTTTGTAGTTGTTTTTTTTTTTTTTTTTTTTGGGGGGGGGGGGGGGTATTTATGTTAACTCCATAACATAACTAACAATTAATGTTATGGAGTTAGACAAATAGGAGTCACATAATCATATTTTTTTTATTGTAGATGATGAGCAGATTAATGAAAAACACATTAAATATCTATTTGATTTGTGATCAGTTTGAACCATTTTTTAGCATAAAAAATATTTGAAAAAGAGCTTTTTTCTGCATGATGAAATTTTGCATCAGAAAATGCAAAAGTGCAAAGTAATAGTCACCTCAGGATTACATACATTTTTAATGTAAATATTACCAAGAAAGTCAAATGTTGCAGGAATTTGAATTGAATATCCTTTGCTCTAAAACCCCAGCATAGAGTTTAGAGAGACTAAAACGTGTGAGCATCCACCAGCATATAGCACAATCTAACTATGTAAGAGCTAGTCTAGCATCTCAGTTTGCAGTGGACATGTCTGCAGAATTAATAGACAATATTTATCACACAAACTCCAGTTGCTACACTTATCTGCACACTCAAGAGTCCAACGTGATTGTCCCAAACAGATGGAAAGGAACATTTGAAGAAAAATAATCTGATTCTCTGATTTATTTGATTTTTGACATCTTCCCTTAAGCAAAGGCTATTTCCTTAAACCGATGTGGATAAACATTGTGGACAGTGTCCAACTTCTCACAATGCATAGAGCACCAAATTCTTTGCAAGAACAACCTCCTACTTAAGTCACCAGCTAGTGACCAAAAAGGAAGGTGACCTTTAGTTGAATAATCTGGGAAATATGAGGCTCTGTGGCAGAGCTCCACATGATGCCACACAGTCATTTTAGTAAAAACTACTCAGCATTATTCAGGACTAAAGTATCTGTGTTGAACCACATCCACTTCTTGGTCACCGCGGTAACAGGCTTGTCACATAATCTTCAGTTCCAGTGATGGATATCATTTACTAAAACTCTAAGGTCCCACACAGGAAAATATGTTCTTCTGCAGTCATTCAAGCTAAGTTTTCAATATGCATGACCAGGTGGCATTTTTGGAAGCCTAGAACATAATTTTCTTAGTTCTTTGTAGATTTTTTTTAATTGAAATTTTGCTAAAATGTTCTGTAAAATTTTTCAGAAGCATCATAGCTATGTTGACAGTGGTTGGATGACAACCAATGTACTCTTTTTACTCTATCACATAGACTTGGAACAGCTAGACATAGAAGCTCATATAACTATCATATAACTATCTGTGGGTTTTTAACATCTTTTGATCATTATTTGTGGAGATGCTCAATATCTGTCAAATCTTTGTACAGACCCCTCCTCATCAGCAGATACATCAGCTGGGTCCAACCAAAGGAGGAAGCTTTCAGCACCGCCACTGAACTTGTCACTGGAACACAGTGAGGGGTCTCTTCTGTCAGAGGATGCTCTGGACACAGATGATGATACCTTGGATACCGGGGATGACCTTGATGTTGATGGGATGGAAACACCTGATGAGGCAGACTCACTTGAAATATATATCCATGGTAAGATATAAGTCTAAGGATTTAAAGCAAGCATGGAGAAGAGCATACAGAATTATGAACTTGTCGGTTCTAAATTTCTCATTGTGCAACAAGTGTTGAGCTAGGTTATCAGAAGTTTATGAATATATTAAATAAATAGAACAGGAAGTTATAGCTAATTAATAGGTCATTGAAATCGGTGGTAAAACCAATAAAATGTTATCAGTTGAATGATTATAACTGCAATTTGCAAGGTTGGACTGAGATATTTTTCAAGGAAGAGTGAATCTGGCCTGATAAATCGTTCCCCGTATAAGATAACCACAAATGACCAAGGGTCAAAATACAATAATACCTTATTAGCTAATAATCCCTATCATAGTATTATTACATCTACTGTAATAACTAGGCAGGCACTAAACACTGCTGAAATAAGCACTAGTCAATTAGATAAAGGTTTAATGCATTGAAAGTGTCCTTTGAAAATCGCGGTAGATAAATGTGAATAAACCCTGACGCAGATAACCAGTCTCACAGAGTATGACTGGTTAAGAAGCTCAAGTGGCAGCAATTTCTTTATGAAATTTTTTTTAAAGCTACAGTGTGTAATAATTACAGGGATATACAGTCAGAAATTTAATATATTATACATAACTATGTTATTTATCATCATCTACGAGCTCAGCCTCTTAACCTTAATATTTGCGTTGCCTTAGAATTCGTTATTTATAATTACATAGGAGCGGGTCTCGCAGCCATGGAGGCAGACATCTTTGCGCTACGGCAGCGCAGAGCCAACAAACTAGCGATTGCGAGATCGCCCATTACGCTCGAAAGTAACTACGGCAAGTTGAGAGAGATGAACTGAGACGGTACTGAACAATAGATGGCAGTATTATGCCTGAGAATACTATCTGTAAAATTATCTATGTAAACAAACCTCATCACTTGAGAAGGTAGGTGATGCGGACGTCGTGGAAGACATTTTGTCCCGTAACGCTCGCCGTACTGTTGGGGGGGAGATGTTCATGTTGCTGCGTTCTGCAGTCTGGATGTTAGATGTCGCTAAAAATTACACACTGTAGCTTTAATGTAATTCTGGAGACTATTTTAATCAATAATTTTCTGTTACTCTGATGCATTATGTCTGATATCCCAAATAGGTGTTTAGCTTTACATTTGTTAGGATATAATTAAGCCCTTATAGGGATGCAACAAATCTTTACTTGACTATTTGATCAGCTATCTAATGGTATTTTGAATTAAATAGAGTGGAAACCTAAATTGCATACACCCTACTTTTACTTTCAGTATTTACTGTAAAGAAAAAAAAAGTTAAGGGACAGAAAATTATCTTTCATTACAACAAAATAAGAATAATATTGGGGATTGTTTTATGCTAAACTGATTTGTCTCTTGTGTGATTAACATCACAAACAACAGAGTCAGAGGAGACCGGTTTGGGTGCAGAAGCAGCTGCAGGTGAGGGTGCAGCAAAGCATCGAGCAGAGGAAAAAGGAGACGGCCGGCTGTGGAGGAGTGTGGTGATTGGAGAGCAGGAGCATCGCATTGATATGAAGTGTATCCAGCCATACAAGAGAGTCATTTCTCATGGAGGTATGGAAACAAAAATATTGACACTAGTTGTAAGACTTGTTGGTTCTGTTAATTTGTCCCTTTAAAAAAATTCCACCAGTGTAGCATAGGGATTCTGTTGATTTAAATTAACCAATGTCTGATTATGTTATTTCCATGTATTTATTTATTTTAGGAAGGTATATTTATTTGATTATTCAGTGACACTAAGGAGGCTTTTTTAAATTTGCTTATCAGAGACTCTTCTGTGTTGCCTGGTTCTGCTCTGCCTTTTTAAGTGAGGTTTAAGAGTTATTCATGTCTGCTAAAAAGTTCAGCTCCCTGAACTTCCCTTTCATTACAATGCCTGACAAAATGAGGAAATAGAGAGGAAGTTATTTTACCAAAATTCTCTGTTTGTTTTTCAGGTTATTATGCTGAAAAAAATGCCATCATCGTGTTTGCTGCTTGTTTCCTACCAGACAGCGACTGTGATAATTATAACTATGTCATGGAAAACCTTTTTCTGTAAGTTAAGTTTTCCATTATCCCCAATTTTATTTAAATGTTCAGATTAGCCACCATGTCAACAAAATATTCATCGTTGCTTCAGCTTTAGAAGATTGGGATTCTAAATTTGACCATTTCTTGAAATAGCCCTGATTTCTTGGGATGTATTTTGACTTTATAAGCATTTATCTTATTTTAAATGTCAAAATAATAACAAAATTATACCAAGATCAGAATAACAAGATCAAATGTTAGCTCAGAGTAAACTGTTGGATTTAATTAATTAGAAAACTGGACAAAACAATGTTTTTGAGTAAATACAATTAAAGTTTTTTAATTTGCCTTTTCTTGTAGGTATGTAATTAGTACATTAGAGCTAATGGTGGCAGAGGATTATATGATTGTGTACCTAAATGGAGCCACCCCTCGAAGGAGAATGCCAGGCTTTTCCTGGATGAAAAGGTGCTACCAGATGATAGATCGAAGGTAATCATTACACAAATGCTTGCTTTCTAATAACAGTGTCTGAGCCTGACCAAACCACAGGAATTATGAGTGGCATCTAAAATGTATCGCAGTCACAAAGCCATAGTTTCTCTATGGAAACTATGAATAGGTTGTAGAAAATACCATGACTGTCATAAATGCTTATACTGTAGATACCCTTCGAAAGACAGGTACCAAGCAGCGGCTCGTCCAGAGGTTTCTAACAACTCCTGCCTATTTTTGCATTCCATTACCAATATATTATTTTAAAAAATGACAAACATGTTTAACACACAGGATTAGATATGGAGTTGCTGGACTCTTTGCTGTTAAAACAACGTTAACCCTTAAAGTCTAGAGGGTTTAGACTAGAGCCTGAAACGGGCCTTGAAAGTCAGCCCGAAACCGACCCGAGTCCGAAAGAACCAGGCCCGTGCCCGACCCATTATGATTGACAGCTTCGTAGAGCCCGACCCGTTTGCAGCCCGACATTTTTCAATTGTGCGCATTAAGGGCTAATCTCCGTTTCACTTCTGTAACATCCATTTTGCATTCATTTGCATTCATCGCGTATAGATCGAACGTTATCACATGATCATTTATTTGCCGCGCATATAACGGTTTAAAGCCCGAGCCCGGCCCGGCCCGAATGAAATAATAAAAAGTACAGCCCGAACCCGGCAGGACCTCTCGGGTCCCGTCGGGTTCGGGCTAATATTCCCTGCTCTAGTTTAGACGTATGTTAATAGGAATATCTGCCCATTATTCCAGGAGAGTATTTTTGAGATCAAACTTTGATGCTGGACAAGATGGCCCAGCTATGTAACAACCTTGTCTTTTCTGAAAGTCACATGAAGTTTGGAGGTCTTTAGTTACTGGCTTTACATAAACTTGCTAACCTGTCCATACGGGCCACTATAAACCCTGTCCTCTGGGATTTTACATGACATTTCACTTTGTGTCCAAATTACTGTTGTTGTTGCTAGTCAGTCTGTCCTTGTTATACTGGCACTAACAGTGGAATACTTTGTGGTGAGGATATTTCACCACAAAGTATTCCACTTGTGTCTTTCTTTCATCTGTGTTTATACACCTCTGGCTTTGGAAGTTATGAAAGAACCCGAATTGTTTATTTTAATGGATGATCAAGGCACTTGAGTATTAAAGCATGCTGTTATTTCACTGAATGAAGTACAGAATCACATTCAGATATTGGTGCATTTCTCAATCAGTATTACCAGTTGCTCATTTAAGAGTAATCTATAAAGTTATCTGAATTGCTATGCTCACAAAGTTAGAGTATATTCATCAATTAAACTAGTTTAAGTTCAGTAAACAAAAAACCTTCTCAGGTGTTTGGAGCCATATAAAAAACTTCTTCATTGTTACTCCTCTGGCTCTGGAGCAGCAACAGACAGAATGGAGATGACCAAAATCTTTACTAATGTTTATTCTAAGCCAATAAAGTGAAGCAAATGAAATGATAAGGAGCAGGTTCTCAGTCTGAAGCTGTAAAGCATCTTGCAAAGGAGCTACGGCTAGAGGATGAAGGCAATGGATCAGAAGCTGGAGCGCACAGAAACAAACTCACTGAGAGCAAATCCTTAATTAATGCTTTGCAGGATTAATACATTATAGACAATCTGCTAGCCTCTAGGGTTGTCACGATACTAAACATTTCAACTCAATTCAATTTCAATTCAGTTTATTTATATAGCGCCAAATTCACAACACATGTCATCTCAAGGCACTTTACAGTTCAACCAGATCATACAGTCAAATTGATACAAAGTTTTCTATCTAAGGAAAACCAGTTGATTGCATTGACTCATTGACTCAAATACAATCCCTCACACTAAGCATGCTTGTAGCGACAGTGGAGAGGAAAAACTCCCTTTTAACAGGAAGAAACCTCCAGCAGAACCAGGCTCAGTGTGAGCGGCCATCTGCTGAGGCAGACTGGGGTTCAAGGAGACAGATACTCGATACCGATACTAAGGAAAATATTCGATACTCAATACCATTTTCGATACCACAAGGATAAAAGAAAAGACTCCAAAATTCTACAGAAATATTTTCATTAATAAATAAAATACAATAAATAAATACAATAAACAATAAGAACAATATTTTGAGGTTGTTTGCTGTGCACAATATTAAGCAAACTTGATAAAAAACTTACAAAATTAAAATTAAGTGTTCCTTCCTTGGCTATGCTTTGCACACATAACAATGACACTAGCCAAACCAGTTAAAAAACAAAAATAATTCTCAGCAGCTGCACCTGTTACAAAAAAAAAAGTCTGAAACTGAAAAGTGCAAAGGATTATTGAATCAAACAGTGTCCTGAAAGTGCATTGACCTATATTCTGCACTTTAGATGAATGACTGTTTAGGTGCCACTGGTGGTGGCACTGTATCGATACTTTTAAAAACGAGTATTGTATCCGGATACAACGTTTCAGTATCAATACTTTTTTGAGTATCGATACTTTTGACAACCCTACTAGCCTCCTACAGGAAAATAGTAGTGTGGACTAGATGAGGACATTTTGAAGTAACCAGCAGAAAGAAGTTAAAGTTCACACTAGAAAAGGCCTGGCTTTGTCCCAAACATTTGATAGTCAAAATTAAAAACCTGCCAAACAGCAGCATCTCTGTGCTTCTCTGTGGATTTTTTTCTTATTTACATTGAAATTCATAACATTAAATTATTATGTAACAGATAGATGCTGTTGAAACATTTTGCCCTAACACTTCCTTTTCAACCCTCTGTTTTACTCCTTTTTTTATTGATCAAAATCACTTAAATCCTTTTTTACTTTTCTCCCTCCTTCTGTTACAGACTGAAGAAAAACCTGAAGATGTTCATCATTGTTCATCCTTCCTGGTTTATTCGGACTCTGCTGGGACTGACTCGACCCTTCATAAGGTTACAGTTTACTACTGTACCCTATACGCATAAAAAGCATCAAATACTGAATAGACAGAAGCATCACACAGTGCTGGATGAAGACCTACACTAACTAATTGTTATGGTATTTGTTTTTTGCAGTTCAAAGTTCAGCAGTAAGATCAAGTATGTCCACAGCCTGCAGGAGCTAGGAGAAATAATCCCAATGGAATACGTTCACATTCCTCCCAGCATCATGAAGTGAGTCTGTGTCAAAAATAGATAAGTCAACTCTGATAACCACTTTGAATAATTTGAAAGGTAAATTATTTCCTCACACTCCCATCTGGCAGTCCTTATCTGTAAACATTAATGATAGATCATCAATCACTGGATTTATTTTTTGATAAACTATTTGACAATTGCATGTAGAGATTTTAATATGTAACCTCTTTAAAAGGATAAGCTTTCCAAGTTCCTTAATGCATCACCAAATACGCCCTCTTTTTATGTTTATGGTTCTCAGTCCACTAGCTTTGATCGTGCCTTATTTACAAAACTCCCTCCGAATTCAAACAAGCCTCATATTGTTTCCCATAACTGGAAACAGTCATCATCATATACAAAGCAAGGATTTCCATGGGTTTCTGTGGAACTTCAAAGCTGTCCCTGGGAAAATGAAATCCAAACAGAGAAAGAAAACTCACTTTGAAATTCTACCACAGTGTAGAAAAAGTGATATTTTACTTCTGCTTAGTCTTTTAACTTGTTACAATTTTGTGTATTTCACACAGCTGTTTTAAAATTTTACAGAAATTAATTGAGACAACAAATACTTTTTCATAGTAAAACGGCAAAAACCCACTGCCTCTTTTTATGCATTTGAGAATGAAGTTTTCCTCTGCCAAAAGGTTTTTTTTGAAAAGTTAGAACAATATCATTAAAACAAGTCTATATTGAAAGTAAAAAAGCAAGGAAGAAGTGTGAACAAGAGCACCGGGTTCACTGACACACAGTTCAGGTTGTGGCAGCTCTTTTAATGAAATGGTAAACCCTGGCAGCTCTATGAGAGTCATTTCAATAAGAAACAAAAAGACTTCTCATATGTTTATATTTATCTTTCTATTGAAATCTTTCCTGTTAAAACAAAAAAAACAACAGTTTATTAAATCTGCTGTGGTTTTAAGTGAGTTCCAACTATCTGCCTTTATTTCCTCATGTTTTAGCTGCATTGGGCGATAACAGTGAAGGGGAAGTTATTCATAAAGAGAACGATTATTTTTGGGACCAATTTAAAACAGAAACCTGTTTCTTACTGCAAGGCTTCATTCCTATAAGCAAATTACTGACCAATCCTCTAAAATCTGGAAATATTTAAGGTGTTCCCTGTGTTGGGGTAAATGCATCTTACACACGAATCATTGTATGAGACTAAATAGAATCCAATATTATATAATATTATATAACAAGACAATGTCCAGAATCTTATCGGGTTTTCCAAATGATCTCCTGTTTCTCCATCTAAGATCCTGCACCCATTCGTTTATGTTTATATTTGTTTGTATGTTTGTTTCTACTCTTTGAGTGAAATATTTAAACCTAAAAGATTAAGACAGATTGCTTCAAAATAAAACTGTAGTTAAAAACATTTACTAGTCTTGTGCTGATCCCTGTACTCAACCCAATGGTACTAGGTAGGAACGTGGTTGCTTCTTGCAGCTAAAGAGATAACCTCTGGGTTAACATGAATGGATTATTCTTTGTGCAGTCATAGCTGGAATAATTTGGGTACTTGGGGGAATGTGTCCCCAGTTTTGGCTGCTTGTGAAACCAAATTGGATAGATGTCCCTGCGCTGCTGCTACAGGTAGACTGTACTTAAGAGTATTTTTTAGGACACAACAACTTCTTAAATGTCAGAATTAACCTCTCTGATGGGGGAAGCTGCAACCATATGACCTAAGCACAGAAGTAGTGGAAGAGGTAACTGATTTATCAGTATCCTTTGTTTCCTCCCATTATTCTTTCCTCACCGAATGCAAATCAATCTGATCTGTGTGGAAATAAATAGGCATATTTTTCTCTTGTTTTTTCTAATTTCGCAAAACATATTGCTTTGATTCAATACGAATTTTCCTTTACTGCCATTTATTAAGTTTAATTCCTCTGTTTTGTATTTTGCTTTCCTGCATCGAAACTGTAAATCATTAGACCAGTGTTTGAGAGATTAAACAAAATGCCTTCTTTAAAATCTTGAATTTCTTTAATAGCATTGAAACAATTTAATACAATAAATATAATAATATAAATACAATACCTACTGTGTAAATGTTTTAACAGCCATTAGATTTTCAGTACAGTAAAATATAAACACAGGAAGTATATTTGTTGATCTGTTTTCCCCCCTAAGCATCTACTTCTGTCTGACTCTTTACAATTTCTTCATCCATCAATCCATCCATCCATTTTCTAGCACGCTTATCCCGAGAGGGGTCACGAAGGGTGCTGGTGCCTATCTCCAGTTGTCAATGGGCGAGAGGCAGGGTACACCCTGGACAGGTCGCCAGTCCATCGCAGGGCGACAAAGAGACAAACAGCCATTCACACACACACTCACACCTAAGGGGACTGTAGAGAAGCCAATTAACCTAACAGGAGGAAGCCGGAGTACCCGGAGAGAACCCACGCATGCTCAGGGAGAACATGCAAACTCCATGCAGAAAGACCCCCGGCAGGAATCAAACCCAGAACATTCTTCCTGCAAGGCAGCAGTGCTACATTCTGGGTTCTATTCCTGCCCAGGATCTTTCTGCATGGAGTTTGCATGTTCTCCCCGAGCATGCGTGGGTTCTCTCGAGGTAAACTGCTTCCTCTCACAGTCCAAAAACATGACTGTTAGATTAATTGGCTTCTTTAAATTCTCCTTAGGTGTGAGTGCGTGAATGAATGGTTGTTTGTCTCTGTGTTGTGCTGTGATGGACTGGCGACCTGTCCAGGGTTTACCCTGCTTATTGCCCGTAGACCTGCTGGAGATAGGCACCAGCAAGCCTCATGGCCCCAGCAGGGATACACATCACAGAAAATGGACAATAAATATTATTTACTGATAAACATAAAGGAAAATCCTTTGAAATTTCACCTCCATACATTTTGAAGTGCCACAAATTATTTTTTGTGCCTAAATGTGACTAAAATGGTTGTATTCTTAAGTCCTTATAGTACTACTAATACTAATTATACAAATGCTTCTATCCAATAAAAAATGGGTTACATTCCAATATATTTGGGTTAGGCTGATCTAGCTTGTATATACACTGGTTAAAAGTACGTTTTAGAAGATTTAGTTTTCTCTATTTACAATAACTTTAATTTAAAGCCATAATTTTATGTTTACTGATATTGGCTTTACCTTTAACCAAAATTTAAATCAGTGTAAGAATTACCAAAGGATTTTATTCTGGTGATATGTTTACGTAAGGCACATCCTCTGTGCTCATCACCATTTCCACTTACCGGGGGGGATTCTGACATTGTGGAAAAATTTTCAATCTTCTTTTGGAATTAAGTACGCTTGCATGAGTGATGCAAACTGCAACTTTTAAATAGAGCGTGTCCGAGGAGAAATGGGCTCTTGCATGAGTTTAATACGCATTCACTCTCTGGAACAGGTACAGGGTTGTGCAAGTGCTTTTTTTTTTTTTTAAGTGGAGAGGGCTGGTCTTCATTCATACCTTTACATTAAACTGAAACCAACACGTTTGTTTTTAGTGAGGGGAACACCTTCTTTTTCTTACTTGATCCTTTGTCTCACCGTTTAAAGCAAATAATTTCCTTGCAGTAAATTCAGTTCTTTCTTGTCCTCTGTTTCCTGCAGAGTGGACAAAGGGAAATCCACAGTGTGAGAAGACACTTGGACGCTGCCTCTTTTCTCCCTGCATTTTGCTGTACCGTCTGCCACAGCATGTTGGAGTATAAAAGCTTGCAGCATGAGGAGTACAGCACATGGCTGTTGCAGAACAACTAAGTGCGATTTAGAAAGGAGTGTGCCAGAATAACAACGTAACATCCTCTTTATGGAGAGCTTCTGAGCACGCTCAGTTTTGGGAGAGGGTTGTCTGGTAGCCTACCTAGATGGCTGAGACTGTCACTGTGCTGAAAGGGAGGGACTTTGTACTGTTTACAAATCACCTGTGTTCACCATCTTTTTCAGTTAATTTAAATACAATTCACATGTTTACAGCTATACAATACAGTTTTTATACTCTTGTGTAGTTTCTGACGCCACGATTGGAATTCAGACTTAATATGCTTTGATGTTGTGCTGATGTAGCTCTCTAAGGAGACATTTAACCTTTTTTTTTCTAATTTCAGTTGATCAGCTTGTGGATAAAACAGTAAATTGGTGTTATTTTATTAGCAGTGTAATCAGCACTTGCTTGATATGAAAGTCAAGACTGGTTGCCTTCATAACAGAGAGGTTGTGTTGAGTGAGAATTTAACTTTTTTTTTTTCAGTGCCCACCTGTAAATGAACACTTATTAACAGAGCCGTTCATCCAACACCACCCGGTCACTGTGAAAACCTGCCAATGACACTTGAGTCTGCAAAAATGAGTGTTGCGAAACAAAAGCCTCTGAGAACAACAAATTCGATTTTTTTTTTCCTTGTTTCAAATATGTTGCATGTTTTCTTGGAAACCAAAGGGGACGGGGCTTCACAACTGGTGCCACTGCTATGGTAAATGTGAAATGTGTGCATAATTCAAACACTAATGTGCGACAGAAAGTGTTTTCATTTTACGCTATACAAACTAGCAACCACAGTGGAGGTTGAGTCATGTGTGCTTTTACTTGTACATGTTAATATGTAGCTAACTCTTTCTATTCATTTGTTGTAGAGGTCATACGATTGTGCACATCATTAAATGCCTTTCCTCCCAACCAGCAGTCTTTTGCTTCTCTATATTTGTGTTTTGAGCACCAAGTCTTTTTGAATGTTCAAACTTACCTTAGATCATTGATTATTGTATTTGCAATTCTTTTTGACATTATATATTTTAAAATAATGAACCTGAATATATTTATAGTTGCTGATTATAGCAAACACAATAGGAAAAAGGCAGTGTTTTTATTTGTTTAAAATTATCTAAATGATGTATCATTTTCAAATTACCAATGGCAAGAGGAGCAAATTAAATAGTGGCTAATAAATACTTTTGCTATATCTCGCTGTGGGTTTTTCTTAACCCTTTTTTAAAATTTCTGCCACATTGTCGAGGTTTGAAAATTATTGTGACTATCGGAAGGCATTGACGTTTTTTCTATAATATGAAATCAGGCAAAATCAATTTTAGTGCAGGAAACTCATCCCCCTTCTTAAGTTTTCTTGTAATGTTGATAGTATATAATATCTTAATCTCTTTTTTTTTTTTGCCCTTCTTCAGAGAGTAGAAGTTATGCAACATATTTGTCCATTCTTAAAGGCTGGGTGAAGCAGGGTATTATAAAACAATTTTGTTTAAGCTTTTCATACATACGATGATGGATATTATAAAACTTCCTTGACCCCGACGAAAGGTTAACATGTATTACCACTTGAAGATGAATGGGAGCTTAGTCTGGTGAGCTATGGACAAAGGAAATCATTTTCTTTGATCACAAAACTTCCTGTTCTTTTTCGTAAAAAAAAAAAACTATTAAATAAATGGGCTTGGCTGCATCAATGTTCCCCCTAAAAGTTTCTCCGTGATATGTTGAAATGTGGACTTAAATGGCCGCTCCAGAACCTTCAGTTTACTGGGTTTTGCTGAAAGTGTTGCATGGCAGAAAAATAAAATTTTATGAAAAGAAAATTAGGAATTCAATTTAAAAATAAAAAACAGATTTCCTTCTTTTAATATTTGACTATTTGTTTTGCTTTTTTTGCAATAAATTAAACTTGAAATATTTCTATTAATTAAAGGAACTATTTTAATTTCATTGCGAAGGGAGTTTGTGACAGTAAATAGTTGTTGATCAAACAAAAGGGTTTTGGATGTTTACCTTAGTAAAATACACCGTACCTTAATAGTACCGTTGTACCATAATTACTGCTGAAATGAAAATGTCTCGAGAGCTGTTCAAAATTAAATTTCTTTTTTTATACACTGTGTATACAAAATTACTTTAAAAGTTGTTTAAGTCTAAAAGAAAGCTTATTGACTAGCTGAATCTTTTAGGTGGATTTCTTTTGTTGTTTCTTGGAATAGAAAAAAAAAAGAAGCACATATTCATATACAAGGACAGAATTTTCCATCTTCTAAAATATTTTACCCATTTAGCCTAGTCTAACGAACTGTTGAGCATATGTCTTCTTTCAAACAATGGTCACTGGACAGCGGTGCTCCTGTTTCCTATGAAATGAAAATCAAAACATGGTCATTGCAATTCAAATATGGGGTTTGTTGTGCCTTTTGTTAAAAATCTGAGATCAGAGAGTAAGTTGTCCATAATCTCTGTCTGCCACACCAGGTGTGTTGTCCCACTTCAGCATGTCAAGAATTCTAGGCCAAATCACAAACATCAGGAATTTAGTAAATCATTCATATCCCCCAACCTGTTATTTTCAAATCTTTAAGGGTTAATAGCCTGAACACTAATTGGCTCAACTAAACCAAAAAGTATCAATTTTGATAAGTATTTAAGACCTTTACCAAGGGGATTAATCTAGGGACCTCCTGCCAAGGTATATTAAAAATCCATCAATCTGATCTTAAACAAAAATTATCTAATAGATTCCTTTATTAATGTGGATAAAATGATTTGATACATGATCAGTTTTGACAAGCAGGGAGAGGAGTATTACAGTGGGACACAGGTAAGTACCTTCAGCACTTATTTTGTATGTGGTCTATGTAAACAAAAAGGTATCTTCAATTTCTGATTCTATCAGAGCTTTCTGCCTGAGATGTTTCTCTAAGCAGTACACTGGAATGGGATCGCTGTATGTGTCAAACTTGTTTGCAAAGAGGTGGTGGTTCTCTAGTAACCACTGTAGGTCCCCAGCTCCATATACACATACGGCTCTTACATGGTTGCCATGACACTCAGGATATACAGCTGAATGCTCTGATCCCTCATGATACGCCCACTTCACCAGCCTTGCAATGGAATTAATGTCCGTCTGATCATACTTGGAGTGGGGTCTCGATGACCCCGGTACGCCAGCCATTCGCTGAATGGTCGCCCACAGAAACTCATCAGGACTATAGGTGTCTTTGCTCCACTCAATAAGAGTTTTTACTCTGGTGTCTTTCAAAACACTGCGGACGTAGCCCCGAGTTACCACAATGTAGGCATTTCCTGATTTAATCTGCAGGTTGAAGGGTGGTGGACTCTTTGACTTTCCTGTTGACTAAAAAAAAAAAACAAATGAAAAAAAATAAAAATGTGACAAGAAAGATAATTAATGCCAGCTTCAACACAAACATTTGTTCTTAAATTTACCTTGATTTCTCCATTAACAATTTCATGAGCATTTGACACCCTCCACTTCTTCCCCTCAGGCATGTTTTCTGACTCCATGCTGTTGGCGCCCTTCAGCGAGCGCAGCACCCTTACCATTTCCAAGTTGGTTTTCAGAGGGAAGTCCTGCCCGCAAAGGTTGATGAAGTATTTCCACTCTGCACTGACTTTATACAGGTCAGCCATGCAGTTAATGTCTGCTTGGACCCTTGGCCAAGCAGCATAGACCACAGTCACAGGCTGACTAACCATGAAAACATTAGGGAAACAGGAAACAATTCCCTCAATGGCTGCTTTTATGGAGGGCTGGGATTTGTTGTCCACATGAACACAATAAAAATTCTGAGGTGCATAGATGGCTCGGAGCAGTCTTTCAAAGTTCTGCACCTGCATTGTGTAAAAAAAGAATTCAGAGTATAGATATTTGTTTCTAAAAAACATAAATATATGTGAGGATGGGTGATTCCAAAGTAAAATCTGATACAGAAGACATTTATTCAAACCAAATATTAAGTGTTTTAATCTAAAATGCACTTTCATATAGATGTTAAAATGTTTTTACCTTGTGATGAACAACGATGGAGTAAGCCAGAGGAAACTCTTCCTCTTCTTTGCTTAAAGGAAATGTAATGTATTTCCTCCTTGTTTTGTAATTCCTGTAACATTGTTGTATGTTGGTAAGTATCATTCAAACTATTTATCTACTTAAATAGATACAGTGCCTTGCAATATTATTGATATATAACTTTTCACATTTTATTACCTAACAACCACAAGCCATAATGCATTTTATCATAGATTTTATTTCTTTTTTTGTGATAGAGATAAAAGCAAAATGGTGCATTTGAGTTAAGTTCAACACAATCAAATATTTATATATATAAGCTTGAAAACAAGCAAGTTTTCTGACACCATTAAATAAAATCATCTCCAATCTGTTGCTTTTGGAAGTCCCCTAAAGAGCCCAACCTTTTCTCGATATAAATTGTTCTGTTCTCAAAAGCCATAAAAGGGTGTAGATAAACTTGCTTTTCAAGCAGATTGTGTCGGTCCTTCACATAAAACCCTAACTAAATAAATGTATGATTGTGGTTGTAAACTGACCCAGCGGTGAAAGTTAGAGGGTTGTGATTATTTCTGCAAGGCACTGTGGATTAAAGCAACACACCTGCAGTCCCGGGTTTCATTAATGTAATACTCATCAGGGACCTGGATACTCTTCCGAAAGTCTCTTGTGATGCTTAATAATTTTGCTTGCTTTAGTGCCTCCCACTGTCCCCGTCTGATTGCTGAGCAGTCGCACACTCTCTCTGGGCCAAAATCATAATCCCTGTACACCAACCAGTTGTTACTCTGAACCAGCTCAGAGGTAGGGGATATGTCCGGCTGAAGGACCAGAAAAAGCATCCATACAGATCCCAGCGCAATGCTGAGCTTCAACAGCAGTTGCCTTGAGCTTTTTTTGCACAGCGGCATGGTTTCAAAAGGAAGACTCCTGCAAGGAAACCGGCAGAGTTATATAGAGTTTATAGTGCCACCTGTTGAAGATAAACTTAAGATCGATAAAATCACAACATCTTTAGTAAAACTTGAATTTTTTTTAAGGAACAGACACTTGTAATGGAAAGCTTTGTGTTTACACCTTGAAGCTTTCTCTCTTCAGTTCTTTTCCTGCGAAGAGATCATTCGGGACAAACTCTTAAAATAACGCTTAATGTTGTATGTGTAATTTAAAAACCATGAGAATGGACAACAGATTTTGACAGACATTTTAAGCTTATTCAGATCAGAGAAGTTGCTTTGAGTTACAGAAGGTAGTGCTTACCAACCGGGCTCACTTCTCATGAAGTGGCCACAATTCAAAGTTAGAGAAGCATTTTATACAACTCCAGTCTGCCATATCATCAGCAGGACACATGCATGGCTCCAGCCTTATTTTAGACAAGGACACCGCTCTTATTCCGTTCCCAAATCTTTGCCAAATACATACTAAAAGGACTTTTTATCCTGACAGAGGGACTGTCCTAATTAAACTACTTAGGAAAACATTAGTTTTGACACAACAGGCAGATATTAGTGTTTAACAGACTTACACATCATCAATTAAAATAATCCTAACGCACACATCCTATCAACTATCAAACTTAAGATCAGACGATTTCTTGGCCTGATTGACTACACTTATTGATTGATTTATTGACTTTATTTTTTTTCTCACGGTGGAGAAATTTACTCTTTACATCAACTCAAATAGTCAAAGGAGAAGAAAAAGGTGCCAAGGAAAGAAAAAGGTGCATGGGACATTTACAGTATATACAGTATGTCCACATTTTATTTTCAGTAGGATTATTATATAGGGTTATTGCACATTTATGTGACACATCTTCTTCTAAGGGTGCGTAATATTTTCTGCAAGTATTTTTTGTGTATGATACGTATAATACTTATAATACGCATAACTTTTTAAAATGTCGATAATCTTTTGTAATGGAGATGATGATGCTTTATTGGCACTAAGGGTTGACTTTACACCTCCTAGTCACTTTTCCTGGCAATAAAACGCATTGTTTGCTCTGCTGTTTATATTGTCCTTTCAGCAAAAGTGTAGGTATAAAATTTTATATTGATGCATTTCTTTAGAGTGATGAGAAGAGGTAGAGCTGTAATTTTCCGAGAGAACAATTACCACAGCTTTCCACAGTTCTGTATCAGACAAGTGGAAACATGTTTAAATAAAGCCAAGTGAATTCAATAATTAACACAGCTGAATCTGAACATATTTTATCCACTTTTCTAACTCCTTATACCTCTTTTGTACTGAAAAACAAGTTACGGTACATAAAACACACTATACTAAAACTTTGAACTTAGACATTAAAACACTAATCCGATTTTATAGGGTATGTCCTTGATCCACTGTCCCCTTGAAGTATTTAATGCCAAGGATACTAAAGTAAGTTGTCTCGTGGTGTATTTTAGTTATTTAGTTAATATAGGTTTATTTTTAGGTTTCATTGATGTGAACATCGATGTATTTTAACTTTGCACATGTTTACAACTAACTTACAACCATAAAGTGATTTACTGAAACCTGAAAAACCAAAGCTGTTTAGACATTTTTAGCTGCGTTAAATTGACATCATAATTAGAAAAAATATGGAATCTGTTGAATCAGTTTCATTTAACTGAGCCACTGTGGAGTTCATTTTTGTCCATTTCAACTTACTTTCGTCTTAATAATGTTCAATTTTCTTCATTTCACTGTAATTAATTCCTTTTATGGATTCAGTTTAACCAAGAAAAGTGCTATGAGCAAATGAAAAAGATACTTCTTTGAAATATTTACTTTACCTCTGAAGGATCTATTGTTCCATTTTAACTGTGAAAATTTAATCCTTTATAGTGAAAGTTACCGTTTTTGAATGATGTGCATACCCCTTAGACCAGGCCTTGAATGATTTATTACCTACTGTAAATTAAGTTGAAAAAAGTCAATAAGTTAAACTAAAATGCTAAGTTAAAAAAGTTAAATACCTAATTAAAAAGTTAAGATAATAAAGTTAATAAGAGAAGTTCGAAAAGTAAAAGATGTAACTGCTTGTATCAGCGTTAAAGCACTAAGGTGATGTTGTAACAAAATGTGTTTTTTTCACTCTGTGTTTGTCATGAATTTCTTATTGAAGCACTTTTATTATTTTTTTTTTCTTAATATATTAGGGCAAGTCGGCATTTCTTGTACATTGGCCTTAATTTTGCAATCAAAAATACATTATTGTTGAGTGTTACAAAAGTAACTGTCCTCCAATAACATTCTGGGCTTAAAATTTGGATTTTCAAATTATTTCAATGTGTGCCATATAATCATATTAATCCCTTGTGGGAAATTATTTTCTTGCAGTGCATCCGTTTACAGAATAGAGAAAAATAAGATTGTAAGTACAATAGAGCTAAATAAAATATAATAAGACAGACTAAAGTAGGTCAAATTATAGCCGACACAGTAAAATTACACCCTTCCCATTAAAGAAAACAGTGTAAAATAAAATCTAAGAATAAAATAAGATAAGGATAAAGGGTTAATGATAATTGGGACCTTTTTTTTGTTTGTTTTTTTGAATGCAGAGGTCATTGTGGCCATGGAATCTATTACTGCTTATATGTGGACTCCAAGAAAAGTGCTATTTAAAGACATGCTTGATGCTTTTATGTTTGAAAACAATCTGCAGGGAACAAATGAATCATGTCACCAACTAATGTTAATTTAGAATTGCAGTATTACAATGTACAGACAGCAAGAGCAAAGTTATCACCACCGGTGTCGGGAAAAGCTATACAGGATTGTACCATTGTTTAATGTTTCTAAGATAAATTTCTAAAATACCACATAAAGTAGACATCTTATGTCAACTGCTATATTTATGACCCCCATAAAAATGTATGACCTTTGTGGTCCAGTTATGACCCTAATCTCCCTTCTGCTCCTATATCCTTTTCCAGCGTCATAATAACAATGTGCCTTTGTGCAGCATTTCCTAAATGAGTTTACTGTCGCTAATCAAGCTTTAAAATGTCTTAAGACCATTCTTTGACCTGCTAACAGAAACTTTTCCATTAAATGGAGCATCTCTCTACTTTCTTGAACACCTCACGCACAAAGAAACAATCGGATTTTTACACCCACACTTCAACCCTTAACTCAGAGAAAGTAGCCGAATTTTATCAACATTTCTGAGTTTCACCATCAACCAAATTTTTTCTTGTTCACACATACACACACCGACACACACACACACGTTAACCAATTGTCATAGATGGTGTCTCGTCTCTATGTATATGTAGAAACATACTACTCTACTTTTAATAAGAAAAACAGCATTATTCCCAACATTGCCTGGAATTATGAGAGTTTATCTATAAAAGAGGAGAAAATTAAAGTTTTAAATATAATCACTCTACCTTTAATGACTGGATCAAGATTATAATTTGGGCTACTCACCTCTCCTACTGAAGACACTACTGTGAAGACGGAAGACATAGTCACCCTGATGCAAAGGGTGGAGACTAAGATGAATAGAGATACCTATCAAGTCCTTGGATTTGCATGAAACCGATTTGCAGGAAAAATAAGGTTGTTTACATCATGTAAATGCACTCTTTGTCTATTTATTTGTGATGATCAGCCCTCAGGGAGTTATAGCAGTTACCTTTGCAACAGGTCGTCTGAGGAGTTGAAGCAGAGTAGAAATATTTTTCCACTGTTAGGTTTATTCTTTATTAGTCATGTGTATTAGTAATCTGCTAGCCAGATTAGATGGGGTGGACGGCCTTCCTTCACACGGTGGATCCCATTGTGTATACAGAGGCCATCTAATGAAGACAGTCTTTTTGTCTGTAGAACAAACACAGGCTAAGGATACATCCTTTACTGTAGCCAGACTGACAGAGAAGAGCTATCTGTAATCCTGAGGCATAGAGGCAAGAGGCACAAAGGTCAGGGTATGGATGGCACAGCTGTGCTGACTCCAAGCAATTTCTCTGTCCAGTAACTGTTCTCTGATCCGAAATGGAATAAACTCTTTTTATATAGTTTTACCCAGTTTTGAGTTAAAAATAATTATACAAAGTAGCTTGCTCCCAGGAAAAGAACCGGAGGGGACGTTCCGAGGTGTAATCGCCTTCAGGGGGACTGTCATCCGTTTTCTATGCCCTACCACGTTCTCCTTTCAGTCATTTTGCAATGGCAGATTGACAGTACAGTAATAAAAACGCTATATCTGATTGTTTACTGGGGCAGACAGAGTTAGGTCTTTTTAGGTCTTCAAATCTTCTTTTCATTTTGGAAAATGTGCAGTTTATATTTTTATCTTTGCTAAAATCCCATTTAAGTAGAATCTATTAGTTAATCACCAAATAAAGACGGATTCTTGTAAGAAGTTTTTTCTCAAATTAGTCATCATTTGCTGTTTCATCATTTACACATTACATTGATTACCAAGTTGTGACGAAAAGACATTTAATGGAATCCTAAAGGTTCTTGTTTCCTGATTAAGTAACTTATTAAATAAAATATCTGGCCAAATTATTGTTTTGATCACCTCTTGGATTTGCATTGGGAATTTGTTTGAAAACATTTCAGTTTCTCTAAATGAGTTAAAAGCTAATTTGATTACATACCAAATTCTTCAAGATAAACTTTGATCCTCAAACATAAAATCCATGCCGAAATGTCATGTTTTTCCTTCTTCTCTGTTCATAGTAGCTTAGTTTAGTTGAGTTTCACTAGTTTTCAGTCAAGTGTTTTCAACTGAAGTAAGTTTGACTTGGAGCTGAAAGATTATTGTTAATTACTCTTATATTATGAATGGAAGTTGTAGTGAATTTATTCCATATATGTGCAGAGTTACCTGAGCATGATTTGAGCTCCACTCACACTTTCACTTGCTGTTCTTGTAATGACTCAGCACTTTTTGGTTTTATTTAAGTTTTCTTTTTGAG